TTGCAAAAAATTTGTTGCTGTTGAATTAAGGCAGCTTGACTTGACTTCTTTTGTTTTGCATTTTTTTTTTGTTGGCATTGATGTTGTGTATGTTGTTGCTATGAGAGATGCAATAGCAAGGTGACAAAAAACTCGGAAAACATTCATGCAAACATTTCGCAAATTTACTGATTTAAAACACACCGACACTCGTAAACTCGACAGGATAAGGTTGATGTATTATTTGCCAGGTTGGCGCTGTTGTTGTTGCTCTTATTGTTCTCTTTAGTAGATTCGCTCTATACACTGTGGATCTACAGCACTGGCGCTAAAAAGTGTTAAGCAATCAAATTATGGCAAAGGGAATCTCGCTTCGACAGCAAAACAATCAAAATTAATTAAATTCTGCGCCAGAATTTCCGTTTGCGTCTGCGTGCTTGGGTTGTTCGCTTTGCATTTCGTAGCGAATATTGCGGCTTACGTTTATAAGCAGTTAACTTGTAAGATTTATCCTAAATTACGAACATTTTTTCTTGGCATTTAATGAGTTTGCTTTAATTATTAAATATTTTCAGACTTATTGCGGTTAGCTGAAAGATATCTTAAGACTGGCTTGAAGATACATTTATGGGCAATAATAACAGAAAATCTAAATCTTAGGACTTACAAAAAAAAACTGAATTAACAAAACTTGGAAAGAACATCGGCAAGTGGAAATATCGATAAACATGTCGACCACTATACCAAAAGCATCTATTTAAATGAATGTTTACATTTCCTTGCAGCAAAAATGCGCACTGGATGCCAATAACAATCTCACAAACGAAAAAAATAATAGATTTTATTTAAAACTTTTAAATGTCTTCCTAACGCTTCAGCTAATACTACGCCGTGCGATAAAAACCAAAAAATTTCAAAACACACGAAGAAAGTAATACATTCACGTTTCTAGTTTTTTCTCTTTGATGTCAGGACTTTGAAGCTGCATACATATACGAAATGGTAATTTCACAGAATTATTTGAAAAATTCTGTGCAATTAAGATTAAAAATGTTGGTACCAAATGAAAGAGAAAATTTTGTGAAATCTTACAAAAATTATTATTTTTTGGTTTATATGGTCAACTAGGTATAAAAATGCTCTTTAAATTAATTTATCTATTCTTAGCTAATAAAGTTATAAGGATAACATTTGTGGATATGATCTTATAAATATTATAAATGTTGAAGGATATTTAAGGATAAAATTGAAAAGGACATTTTCAATACCTATTGATACTTCTGCGAAAAAAAAGTTAATCTTTTCTATTTCTACAGAATTTTCTCATTCATTTGTTACCTATTCTGTTATTATAAATTGCACAGAGCTTTTTTAATAGTTATTTTGAATTTGTTAAGTCTTTGAAATATCGAAATTCTTTTTAAAAATTCAAAACGTAAATTTTACTATCGCACGGTATTATTTACCATTATTTTATATAGTAACCTACCATAGGAAAGTCGGTTAAAAGCATAAAGGTTCCACTACGATTCCAGTGGTCCCTAAGTTAAAGCGACGAAGGCTCTTGTTCCCGTTCGGCTTCTCATCCGGCATATTAAATGGACCCTAGGCCGTTGTCCACATGGCAATGAGCTCTGTAAAACTAAACTGTTGAGATGAGATGAGAAACCATTCAGCACTTCGGAAATTTCAAGTTTGGAAAAATTATATTACATTCAGTGTCATTGAAGATGGCACAACAGCAAAACCTCTTTGGCTCAAAACAAAATTTGAGAAAATATTACAGAAAATCATTCTTAATAATAAACTCAATCATATTCTTAGTCTTAGTCTTTATATAAATGTTATTTTGATTTTAATCTTAATCTCATTCTAATCTTAATCTTAATTTTAATCTTCCTCTTAATCTTCATCTTAATCTTTATCTTATTTTAAACTAAATCTTATTCTTAATTATAAACTTAACCTTAACCTTATTCTTAATCTTAATCCAAACCTCTATCTCAATTTTAATCTTAAT